TATGCTCAAAACGGATAATGGGTGAATGAGAAATTGATTCTCAAAGTAGACCCATTTGAGTTGGAAAAATGAAGGGAAAATGTTTAATTTTAAGGTTGCCTTTATCCCACATTGGTTTGGGAAGTGAGTTTGGACCACTATTTATACAAGAGCCTTTCTAATGCATATTGAATTGTATAGCATAAAGGCTCTTTCTTAAGCATAGAAGAGAGGCTTGATTGGCTTGATTTGTACGTGTCATTTGGAAAATTGGTTGGCCTTTATTTGGGTGTTCAAACATTGAAATGTCCTTCCAAAAATGTTGAGTTTTTTCAACCTTATTTGCAACAACAATCACCAAGGACGATAGTTTTGTCATTTCTTTTATTTTTTCCTTTCTCATAAGAATTGAATTGTAATTCGGTGGAATTGCAATTCCCTCCAACCAAACAACGTAATTGAGGCCTTCATTGAATTACAAGTCAATTACATTCAACAAACGCCAAGTGCACAACACTTTTGCATTTTACAAAATACAAATTTTTAATACAAACGTGCACTTTTTAATACTTAACTATGCACTTTTTAACAACATAAAATGTATTCTTGGAAAATCTTAAGAAGTGCACACTATAGTGTTAAAATCTTGCCTTTTGCAACATGTAATTTTTTTTAATACTAAATGTGCACTTTTTAACAACATAATGTGTGCATTTATGAAAAATCTTGAGTATATATATATATATATATATATATATATATATATATATATATATATATATATATATATATCCATTCATATTTACTACCAAACAAAGTGACTTTTTTCTAAATAAACCTTGATAGGATATATCCCGACCGCCATGAGTTGGTCCATCCTGTTATTTATGCAGCTTCTTTAGGTCGGGCGTTCTTAAAGCTAGGCGGTTGGACCCGACCGACAGACTTCCCGACTGGAGTTATCACGAGGATCTCGAAGAGAAGCACGTGGCAACGTTATACGTTGACAGAGAGGGCTCGTCGGGTGAAGACGCGTGGACGCTACGTGGGTTACATGCCGGCCGGACGGAAGTTTGTCTCCGGCCCAGCGGCTATAAGTACCCACGGCGGCTACGATGATGGGGACTTTTGGACGATCAATAGGTTATTTACAGAGCTGCCCGACCGCAGTCAGTCGGCCCTCGGGATAACCATCTAGATTGTACTAGGACTACTTTTGATCAATAAGATCCCCTTTTACTACTCTTATTTGGTCTCATTCAGTACTTTGACCGCATTACGTGGATATTTGTACTATCAAACCTATTACTATTACCAATTCTTTAATTTCAATTATAATTTTGATTGCAATATTTAAACCAAATGCTCTTTAATCACTAGATAAATAAAGATAATACAAGAAAGATACGTCATGCATGGATCCCCAAAAACCTACTTCCAACTTTAATTTACTCCCACTTGTGTTCACATTTGATTGGAGGAAGTAAAAAAAAGAAAAAAAAAAAAAAGGAATGGTAAACATCATGACCCCCTATTAAATTAAGCAATCAAGGCATGTCATTTCGTATGGAGTAAAAAATAAGAGTAGAAATTGGGAGTCCATGTATAATCTAAAAACATAATAAGTGTGAATGAAGGTTATACCCTTCATTTATGTCCGTTTTTTCCGTTAAGTTTTTTTTTTTTTTTATACATTATGCTATAAAGGTTGTATTTTATAATATTTTGGACAAATATACCCCTACCGTTATAACTTCCGTTATCTTTTCCACTATTGTTACTATGCACATGCATCCACCATATATTTTCTTATCTTCTTCAATAATAATAATAATATTTATACATTAGAATTTGGAGTTATTTTATATAATATAAATATCAAATGTATAAATAATAATAATAATAATAATAATAATAATAATAATAATAATAATAATGTAAACATTTTTATACATTTGATATTTATATTGTATAAATTATTATTTATAATAATTTAAATATCAAAAATCTTAATATAAAATAATAATATTGGGCACCTAATTTTTGCGCGTCGCGCATAAGAAAATACTAGTTACTCATAATACAATGCATCAAATAGTCAAAGCCTTAGAGGAACTATATCAATTATTTTTGAATAATTTTTTCAACTTTGTGTGAGGTTTGTAACAAATGGAGAAGGATTTTTTTGAATTTCTTTTTTTCTCCTGTATAATTAATAAATTATTTTTTTTTTGTAGGAGAAAAAAATTAGGGAAAAGGTAAGTAAGAAAAAAAAAACATGTGCTTAAAGCGCACAGCTCGCCCCAACGGATGCGTGTGAAACACGCTCCCGCTGAGGTGCTCCAGTCGGCGGCCACTCTGTTTTGTTTTTGTTTTATTATTTTGTTTTATTTTTTTATAGCAACGTTTAACCTTTAAAAAAAATTGTTAAAACATTTTTAATTTAATTTTGTTGTTAAAATTTTTAAATTTATGCAATGCAAATGTAGTATATAATTTTGATACGATATTATTTAAACTGAAATTTTATATTATTAATTAAATTTAATTTTGAACATGGCTTTGTTTTCTTTTTATGTGGCATCAAATCAATGATGATGTCAAAGCAAGATAAACTTGTAATTAAAAAAAAAAAAAAGTGAATGAAAATAATTTTACCAAACTAAAATATCTTACTCTCTTATCCTTTCTCATTTAGGGTATGACTAGAAAGCAGAAAAATGACTTAAAAATGCTTTCTGTCATTTTTCAAAAAATATTTTTCTTTCCAGTGTTTGGTTGTATTCTAAAAAGTTGCCTTGGTGTGTTTGATTCATTTTTTAAGGGGCATAATTATTTTTAATTTTAAATATTTAAAATATTCAATGATGGTCGTGGTGGTGGTGGCGCGTGACGACGACCAGAGTGATTGGCTGCTCCACTGCTACAAACGAAAAATGACTTCCCAAAAAAAAAAAAAAAAAGTTATTTTCTGGAAAATCCCTTCTATTTTCCATGTACTACACCCCTATTTTTCGTTGACTTTTTTTTTTCCCCCTCTAATCAAACACTGAAAACCCAAAAAATAATTTTCAGAAATCATTTTTTGGGTTTCTAAACCTAAGCATGACTTTACTTTCCTTTCTTCAATGTATTTAGGGAAATGGCATTTATTGACCAACTAATTTCTACATGGATGTTTCTCTTGGGAAGAATGAATTTAGGCAAATGGCATTTATTGACCACCTAATTTCCACATGGGTGTAAGACCAAATTTGCCTAGTTAGGTTGAGATTATTGCAATCCAGCATGTCTAAAATACATGTTAAGTGAGCCCAACTCATTGGGTTGAAACAATTTTGACATCTCTATGTGTTTGAATCTAAATAAATATTTTATTATATATTTTTATATAATAGAGGAACAAAAAATATACTACATAAACGAGTAAATACCAATTTTAGTCCCACGAGTATTAGCAAAATGACAATTTTAGTCCACATGTTTAGTTCCTACCAAAACTCATCCCACAACTATTGTTTTACTACCAAAGTTAATCACTCCGGTCACCGAAGATATTAAAACACGTCGGAATTTTAAAAGAATAAGGGTATTCCCACACAAAATGACAAGAATATGCAAGCAAATTAAATTAGGTTCCATTTTGAACACTGGTTCCATTAGAAATTAGGTTCCTAGGAATGGTATCACAAACACTACTATGGTCTCGATCAGTTTTTGAATAGTGGTTGTCTCTGTATAATTTGAACATACCATTAACAACACAGACTATTACAACACACACATAGACCATTCAAACACAAACACAAATCATTACATTAACAGCTCAACCACAATCATTTAAATTTACATACAATTGCTCAAAACAATACATGTTCAATTGGTCAATTGATCAAACCACTGTCATTTTATATAACTTCATAACCGATCTAATACATGTTTACTTTACAAAGCCAATAATAACAAGTTGCCTCATAATCATTACAAACTTTTGTAAAAAAAAAAAAAAAAGAAAGAAAGAATAACAAAATATACAAAAAACAATTTTGTAAAAATTCGGCGTGATTTAACATCTCCGGTGACCGGAGTGATTAACTTTGGTAGTAAAATAATAGTTGTGGGATGAGTTTTGGTAGAAATTAAACATGTGGACTAAAATTGTCATTTTGTTAATACTCGTGGGACTAAAATTGGTATTTGCTCCTACATAAACCCTGCAAAAGTCACACCAATATAATCTATTAGGAATATATTATTCGTATTAGACTAGGAGTATGTTATTCGTGTTAGATTATGACTATATTATTCGTATTAGACTAGGATTCTATCTAGTATATCTATATATTTGCTCTCTGTACTCTCAAACATTACGATTGAATACAATACTTTTACATACATTCTCATCTAATCAACCATCATAAGTGAGCAAAATCCACTCAAAGACATATCAACAAATTAAAAAGTAAGTTGTAAATCTTTGAATATTCATTGTTATCTAATTTGTATACTTTATTAGTAATTAGCTTATGGATACATATTACTTTCCTGTCTAGTTAGTATTATATTTCGAATAAATATGACCATCAATCATAATTTATTATAGTTGATAAGTTAAAATCTATAATTTAATTTGCATGTGTATGTTTTTAGTTTGAATCACGTTACAAGGATAAAAATAAAAATTCATAATCTAATATGTCAATTTATTATTAAGATTTGATTGCTATAGAATTTTTTTTTTTTTTTTTTTTTAACGTAAGGTGAGACCAACCAATTCACGAGAAGCAATGGATAAAAAGAACGTTAGTCTCATGAGAAAGAAATTTTTGGTACAAATATTTGATCCCCATAGCAATTTCCAAGGTTGTGGGATAATCCTTCAACAAACAAAGAAGTTATAAGGCAAATTTGTAATAACCAAAGTTTTAGTGGTAACATTTGGTATTATTTCCTCATTCTTTTGACCTTTATGGCCTACAACTCTGCAAGGGTGCGACTATAAGTTCTCGATTCCCTACTGCAGTACTGATATTAGCGCACGCCAATTTTGCTCTGCCGAAATTTAACGAATCAAATCCGTTTGATTCCTCAGCAAGATTGACCGGAACAATCAAATCACTTGCTTCGAGACGGCGGATACCTAATCTGGAAAATATAATTATTATATAGTACTCCGTAATATACAAATTTTCAATTTAATTTATTGCAGAAGCATTGAATATATTAGCATAGTCTTCAGAGAATAGCTTTTACGCCATATGTTTGATTCTCTGATCTTTACTCAAATTAAATCAAGTCGGATTTCGGTGCCAAGCTTTTCGAATTTCAGGTGATTTTTTATTTTTTATTTTTTGCTTATTTGTGTTGCATGTTTTGGTGATTGAGATGATTGTTTTCCAATTGGGGCTGAAGTAATTGAGATATGCAGAAAAAAGAGCACGAAGCGGTTGAAAATGGCGCGTCCACCGGTTCTTTCTTTGGCTCTCCCGTCTGAAACTGGTCGCGTTCTTAGCATTCAGTCTCACACTGTTCAGGTACTCCTAGCGGATCAGTAGCTTTTGAATGGTAATTTTAGTCGCGATAGCTTTTGAGTGTATCTGATGAAAGGAAGAAGAGCTACTATGGTATATGTAAAGTGTGTTTTTATGTATGTGTGCGTTTGTATAATTGTATTGGACATGTCTATTTTCTTTGGAGGAGCTTGATGCCATAATTTTCAACTCAATGTTAGTACTTGGAAGAATTTGGTTTAGGGATTTATTAATCAGGTAATTTGGAGTTCTATTCCATGATACGATACCCTCCACAAGAGATTGTGGAGTGTTGGGGCCAAACCTCACTCATGAGCTAGCTTTTGTGGTGGAGTTAGGGTCTTGGCTTGAGTAGCATATCATGCTAGTATACATAGCCAGTCCTCTAGTCTTCTCAAAGTATTTGTTTTCTCTTGCATCTGTTTTACAATTCATAATGGAAACGTACTTAGCTACTGTTTCAAGCCTTATTTTGTGCTATTACTTGTTTATTTTTTTGATTTTATATGCAATTGTGCTAGGCCTTTCATGCTACCATTTCCAATTTGATGGGTTGGTAAAGGTCTATGTTGCTCCATTTGGCATTATGTTGTGCCTCATTGCTAGGCCATTATATATGTAGCTGTTAGACTGTAAATATTTTGTTGGCCAAAGAAAAATGATTGTAAAACGGACTTCACCAATTTTTCTAATTCTTTCTGCTTAGGGGTATGTGGGAAACAAGTCAGCAGTGTTTCCTCTCCAACTGCTGGGCTATGATGTGGACCCCATCAATTCTGTACAGTTCTCAAACCACACAGGCAAGCAGCTTCTATCAGTTTCAGTCTGATGCCTGAAATATGTTGTTAGGCTATACGAAAATCTCTACAAGTTTAGATGTAAAACCATCTGCTATACTAACTTGTATTATGGTCAACCCTGAAAATGTTACAGGATACCCGACTTTTAAGGGTCAGGTTTTGAATGGAGAACAACTATGGGACTTGATAGAAGGTCTTGAAGCTAACAATTTGTTGTACTACACTCATTTATTAACAGGTATCTGTATCTCATAGTGTAACATTATACTTCTAGAAGTTCTATGTTAACTAAAATTACATCGATAACTTCTTATTGTTCTGGTTGTAAATTTGTTGCTCAACCATGTTCTGCACTGGTATTGAGGATGTGTATATCAGGGGTTCTAATTTTGTGGACCTGCTGGCAAGGTTGAAGCACCGATCGATATTTCTTTATTAATTAAGTTCTATGCCGTGCAGACAAACTTTGGCAATCATCAAAATTATTACTTTAGGAGTATATTTGAAATGACTATGACTATTTTGCAATGGACATTTAGCTCTTATAAAGACCACTGAAGAACAATAACAAGGTAGTGACGGGAAATATGATAGTAAGTGGTAAATAAAAACTTTGATGATGTAAATATGTCATGTAGTGAGCAAATGATAGGTACAAAGTAGTATGGAAAGCGATAGAATTAGGTGTTTTTATTTATGTGCTCAAGACAACGGTCGGCCAGTGTACACACAAGGAGAGATCCACAGAATCCTGACTGCCTTCAGCTCTCTCTCTCTCTCCGAAACAATCCCTCACTAAATGCCCTGGGCGGCTTTTATAGGGTTCTTCAAGACACATGCTGGCTTTTACTCATTTGGTTGCACGTGGCTATCAAGTAGCAGGCAAGATGGTTGGTCGCTCCACATACTCAAAACACACTGCCCTATGGTGATTTGATGGGGCGATGTGCCACATGCTATGCTGCTATTCATCAGTCCCACTGACCGATCACATGGTCGGACGCAGTCGGATGAGGTCGACTACTTACCTAAAGGGGGATCGGTTGGGTCAGCCAGCGTATTACCTAGAGTTAGTGTAGATAACCCTGTGAAACTTATTGGATTGAAAATATTTTTATTTTTATTTTAAAAAGAAAGAAAGAAAGAAAAGGAAGACATGATATAGCTCAAGGGAATGGTGGATTTAATGCTTATTAAGATTGAATGTGACTTTGAATCCACATAGCCAGCCCCAACTAGATTGGAATTAAGGTTTACCTCAGTATTAAAGTACTGTGAGGGAGATTCATTTGTAACTTGCAATAGTTGTTATTTCTATATGCTTGTTTTTATGAGTATACTTGTTAGAATCTTCAGCTTATTCATGGTTAAATAGTATGATTGAATTCAACTCTTTGTTAAAGTTATATAATCCTTTTCTGGTACACTCTGTTTATGTCAACTGCTAATTTTGAGTAAGCGTGTTATAGGTTATATTGGCTCTGTTTCCTTCTTGGAAATGGTTTTAAGAGTTGTTGATAAGCTTCGGACCATTAACCCTAAACTTGTTTATGGTAAGTGCACAAGAAAATTCTGCCTTTTATGGTTAAGATACATGTGTCAAAATTTATTACATTTCTGTTTTTTCGGTGCCTAGGAAGTATTTTTGTTCTTTGAAGCTTCAAGTATTGTGTGCCTATGATTATACGGCCACTAGTATTATTTTTTCTAAATTTTATAAAATTGTTGGTCTTAGTTTTTTTTTTTTTTTTAATAAATTTTAATAAACTTTGAGCTTCTTTTGTCAGTTTGTGACCCTGTGTTGGGTGATGAAGGAAAGCTCTATGTTCCTATGGACCTGGCGTCTGTGTATCGTGAAAAGGTAAGCATTATCCTGTATTTTTCAGGTTGATAAGGACAGGAACAGTAAATGCTTTGTTTAATTATTATTGACTATTCATTAATATTGAAAGTTTGAGTTACTGTAACTGCATTAATCGATGTATCAACTTGGTAGCTGCTTTATTTGCCCTTCAGATTTTTTCATTTTCGTAACACTCTGGCTATGTTCTCTCTGAGAAGGTTGTCCCTGTTGCTTCAATGTTGACTCCAAATCAGTTTGAAGCTGAGCTGCTGACTGGATTGAAGTAATCACATATGACTTCTTTTCAATTTTTTGAGGAAATCATGCTCTATTTTTTTTTTTTTTTCTTATTCTACATCTTTGTAAGTCGATTGTAATAGATCTTTTACCTTCTCTAATTGCTTTGATTCACTTAGTATTAAATCTGAACAAGATGGGCGGGAGGCTTGCAACGTTCTTCATGCTGCCGGACCATCAAAGGTCATTACATAAATTTGAAAGTTTCTATTTTTAGTTAGTCTCACTATTGGCATGATTTGCTCCTCCCGTCTTTTTGTGCTTTATGGAAAGCTTCCTTTTTCTTTTGAATGTGACAAATTTTAATGTTAGTTTTTAGTCTCTGTGAGTGTGTGTGTGTGTAATAGACAAAGTTGTGGACTGTGTTTTCAGGTTGTCATCACTAGCATAAACATAGATGGAAATCTACTTCTTATTGGTAGCCACCAGAAGGCAAAGGTACATAACTTGATTCCACATTCTCTGAGTAGGACACTCATTTTATAGAGAACTATTGTTTTCCTTGTACCTTGAGACTCTGTGCCCTAATCCTCCTCTCCCTTTCCCTAAAAATGAAAACAAATGTTCTTGATTTCTTTCAAGTGATTTCCACGTAGAGCATTCTAAAAACTCATGGATGCAGTAATTTCTCTCCTCACAGTGCATTTCTCAAACTTCTAATATAGATCATAAAAGGCTTCTTGTTATTCTGTGCATCTCTGTTTTGTTTTCTGATGATTATGAAACCTGTAGTTTAAATCATTGTGAAAGACTATTGTTTGATGTTGTTATTCAATGTGGTAGGGTCAATCTCCTGAACAATTCAAGATTGCGATACTCAAAATTCCTGCATATTTCACGGTATGTATGAATTTTCTCATCTTTAAGAATGCCATTACTTCAAAAAAAAAAAGAATATCATCTTCAGAAAGAAAATGATGCCTTGATGGTTGGTAATTACTAATTACCATAGATTTGCTTTGAACCTGCAACTCACAAGATTTCAGAACTTCATTCTTCATATAGGCTGCAATATACTTATATTACCTAAACTTTGTGATTTCAGGGAACAGGAGACCTAATGACATCCCTATTGCTTGGATGGAGCAATGTAATGATTTCCCAGATTAACTTAATTTGATTTTATTTCTGAAAATAATTTGCCTCTGATAATTGCTATTTTCCATTCAGAGATATCCTAATGACCTTGACAAGGCAGCAGAACTCGCTGTGTCAAGCTTGCAGGTACTTTAGTAGTTTATAAATGCCTTGAACATGAAAAACTGCATGGCCTACTTGACTTGCTATTACTATTTTAAAATCTCACTTCATTAGAGTTCTTTTAGTCACTAGATTATCGTATACGTGCTCTACTTTTATAGAGGGCAAAATTTTCGTGCAACTATTAAGTGAATGCAAATATGCAATTATGGGGAACAAGACTGAGTTTAATAAAAACTGGAAAACAAAATAAGGCAAGCCAAAAGACATAGGAAGAAGCTGGTTTTTGAGGCTTTTAGGTTTGTTAATTTGGCAAGAATATTTTGTCAGGCACTCCTGCAGAGGACATTGACAGACTACCAAAGGGCTGGATATGACTGCAAATCAAGCAGTTTGGAAATTCGATTGATACAGAGCCAAGATGACATTCGCAACCCTGAAGTCAAATACAAGGCCCATATATATCACTAATTTGTCTGCTTGTCGTCGTCACTATTGTTTCTTCACTTGTATTATTGGTACTAGACACGATTTTCATTCATTGCAATATAGAGAGAACATATTTTTTTTTGCTTATTACTGTTATATTGCATACAAGTTCAAAAACTTTCCCAAAAAGAAGCAAAAAGCAAAGAATGAATAGTAGAAAGATGGGAGGCTGTATTGGCAAAAAGTGCTAATGTGCTTCTACGGTATTCATTTCTACATTCATCCTCGTGATTCTTGACAAGCTTCTATGAGTCTAGGGATGACAATTAAGCATAGTGGGGGTTACACAATTTGGGTACTCTTTTCCCTTCCTGGTACTTCTTTCTCAAAGGTTTTCTAGACTACATGCATTGCTTCGGCTCAAACAAAATTTACGTCTATTGGATAAAGATATACACATGATTAAAAATAAGAATAAAAACTAACACAAAGTAAGAAGATCAAGTTGTGATTATACCTCTTAGTAGCAATTTGAAGAAGTTGGAGCAAGAATTTAGAGCGTATGAACAAAGGGGTTTTCATTAGGATGCATAAGGTAGATGATTGTTTTGTGTGTCTACTTAGAGATCATCACACCAATTTATATAACAGATTGAAAGTTCTAGGATGTACAGTTAACTACTATCTACAGGATGAAGATAAGAACGAATCTTATCTCATCAGCTACTTTGTACAAAAGTTACATTTTAAATTGGATTTATCTCTTGGGGAAATGATGGAATTGAACGAAAAATGGACTGGAAGGATCAAAATTTGCTAAGAAAGTCATAGTCGTGGACCAATTCTACAAGTGGACCAGTTCTACAAGTTGTAAAAGTCGTGAATCAAAGTTGTTAGTGATACCATAATTGTTGGACCAAAAGTGCAAAAAACTCTTTCTCGTAAATAAAAAATTAAAGATAAGAATAGAAAAATAAATCAAATATTAAGAAATTTTATGAAAAAATATAAAAATTGGACCATATACATGCTTGAAAAAGAGTGATTAAGTGTGAAAAATATGATTTTTTTAATATATGAAGAGTCCGAGTTTTATGCCATTAAGTACTTACTAGTAATTCACCCGCGCGATGCAGGGAAAAAAATTATGTTATTATAAATATAAATAAAAAATAGAAAAATTAAAATATTTTAAATTGTTTAATATAATAATATTTTTGAGCTTCCATTGGTCAAGTATTTATTTTTTTTATAGATATAGAATACAAAATTACAATGAAAATTTTGTATAGTTAATATAATCTCTAATTATGTGCATATTCAAATAAGAGAGAATTTACATAATTACATTGGTTTATTCTTAATTGTATTTCATCTATATTATAATTTTCACAATAGAATAATAACTAAGATAATTACATTTGGAAAACAAATTTCAAATTTTGTATGAGTAAATTTAAACTCTAATTGAACACATTTTTATATGATTATATAATATATAGCTATTTTATTTTTCAAAATACATTTTTTATATGATTATATTGTTATAAATATTATTATTATTATGGCCATTATCACAAGACCTTTCATTTGCCTTATATTTATTCCATTATTTATGTTATAGAAAATGAAGGGTTATATGGATGTATATATATACATGTTCAAGGCATAATGAAAGAGAGAACTTGTGTTCTTGAGTTCTACATTCTTGTGTTATATTTTTCTCTCTACTCTTCCATTCCATATTGCAATATTCTTCATACATACAATCGATGCGTTACCGTACAACTATCACGCGAGAACTAACAAGTTGATAGGCCGAATTACAACACGTTATCAGCACGAATCGCCAACATATTCCTCGGTGAACGGTATGCTCGGACATGTTATAATACATGTTTTTATACTAGGCAAGCATGTTCATAGGTTTCATATAATACATGTTTTTATATGGCACATGTTGATTCTACACCTCTTGATATGATTATGAAATACATGATTGATATGATACATATTGATTCTAAAATTTGAAATATGAATTGCACATACCGGTTCATATATATATGATTGTGTAAATTCCTGAATATATATTTCCAATTTTATTTTTGATTCTTAAAATTGAAAGAAAAGCATGTGATATATATGTTTGTGTAAATAGATGGGGCTTTTCGTACGAAGATGCAATGTATGTATACATATTATTTTCATTTCGCATACTTTGTATGTTATATACCCTATGATGTAGTGCATTATTATGTTTTTATGATATGTCGTTTGCATGTGATTAGCAATTAGTTTTTGTGCCGATTAGGCAATGAATGAATGGTTTTTAATTAAGATTGTTAAAATTTATTTTGTGGAAGCTTAAGAGTGAGTAAGACTTTAAAGCTTAATTGATGACTTGGGAGCATCAATTCGGTGTATTGGAGAATGAAACACCACTCGTTGCCTGTAGCGCGAGTTGATGCTATAAACACGAGTCGATGCTTGTTGCATCAATTCGGTGTTTTCGCACCGATTCGTGCCTTGTTGCTTGTAGCACGAGTTGATGGTATAAACACGAGCCGATGCTTGTTGCTTCAATTTGGTGTTTGCCTCACCAATTCGTGTTGCACCATTTCGGTTTTTGTGTATATTCGAAAGATCAATTTGTTTTCTGATTTTATCTTTTGACTTCATCTTTTGACTTCTCCTTTCCCCGGGCGACCTCCACCCGAGTGACCAGGACGTCCGGCTGCTCCACGATGAAGCCCTCGCCCGTCGTCACGGTCGAGGCGCTCAGCGGTCGGGCAGATGGAATCTCCTTCTCCCCGGCCGCTTTGGTCTTGGCCTTCTTCTTCCCGCCGAGGGAGATCTTGACCGGCGGGGGAAGGGCAGTGTCTTCATCGCCGAACTCGGCCATAGCTGCAAAAGCAAGAAAATTAGTTAGATCGAGGTAATAAGCCAGGTCGAGAGAAGTAGCTCGTGCCAAACCTTTCTTCTTTCGTTTTGACGGCTTGGCGACCGTCACGCCCATCGGAACGGGCAGGTACTTCTCCGGCAGCTCGTACGTGGGGGGCGGGAGCATGGCAGCTGCGAGACTTTCAGCCGTCCGGAAGATTGTGTATTCGTGCACCTCGCTCGAAATCCGGCTGACCGTGTCCCTCAGCGCTTGCGTCTCGACCGGCACCACTTGCTTTCTGAAGTGGCTGCTCCAAGCGCGGTCGACCGGGAGGATCCAGGGGTCGTATTTGATGGAGAAAATTCTGTTCTTCCACCCCTTGTTGTTCCCGGGCAGGCCTTTGATGGAGCACATATCTGCTCGGGACTGCAGCATCAGGAACCCACCCCCGTAGCGGCCCGGGAGAACCTTGATCTGGTAGATGAAGTTGAACAACTCCATCGTGCACTCGGCCTCGTGCCGAGCACATATCTGTGGGAAGCAGGCGAGGATCCGATGCGCGTTCGGGCAGATCTGGGCCGGGGCAACCCGGTAGTAGGCCAAGAAGGCGTTCAGGAGGGGGGTGAAGGGAATGGCGATCGGGGCCATCAGGGAGTCGTAGTGCATCCCGATCCACTTGCCCCGATGCCTGTCAATCACGTTTCCCAGCTGCCGGCTCGTGTCGAATTCTGCCCGACCCCGGAGTATTTCAGCAATCCGGGCCGCTTCGCCTTTGGTCAGCAAGCTCGTTTCTTGCTCGACACTCTCGCTGTTCAAGAATTCGAGCTCGACGGCTGGTGTGGCCGGCCCGGCCGGGTCTTCTTCGGTCTGCTCGGGAGTATTTTCTTGATCACCTCCTCGATGAGCAGCTTCCGGGTGGTCCCCAACCACCCGGGTAGGCGTTTCCCTAACGCCCTCGGTTGGAGAACCCCGCCCGCTTGACGTGGCTCTCTCTTCCTCTTCCTCGCTAGAGCTCCCCGATCCGCTGGAGCTAGAGCTCGACGTCCCGGAGGAGCTTGATGCGCTGTTGTGCTTGACGGCCCGATCGGGGGCCGGCGTTGCCCGGGGGCTGGCTTCGGGAGTGTAGGACATAATATCCACTTCCTCGTCGCTGATACGTTCGACCTCCTCATCATAGCCCGCGATCGAGGCGTTTTGACTATCCGAGTCCGACATAATTCTACCTAAAGGTCGGTCGGGAGTTAGTGCGGGGTTCGGGGAATTAGCTCGAAGTTAGTGCTATCCTACTTCTACGCTAAGTAAAGAGTAAACGAAGAGTAAAAAGCTAAGAGCTTACCGAGTGAGGAAGCTTGGAAGAGGATCTGAAGTGGTGCTTTGCTTGACCGCCTTGCTGAGATACTCTACTCGGGATTCTTAGAGGATACCGACTGAAGCAAAAGAGTGAGGAAAGTTCAAATGAGGGCCTCAAGGGCCTATTTATAGGAGGGCATTTAGGCGGGAAATAGGCCAACTTGCCTGACACGACCCGCGCTGAATCCGAGGCGACGGATGGGATCGCCGAGGCCGGCAGAGGCCGACACGTGGCGTAGGAGGGAATGACAGCTGGCGGGTCGGCTTGGTGGCTGACGGTTGGGCTTCTTCATCCCGTCCCGTTTTTTTTCCCGACTGATCAAAAAGGCCCGGGCTGGGGGGCTCTTGGTAGGGAATATCCCGACCGACATAGCTTCACCACGACCGAGGAGCCTTTTGTCTTTTTCTCCTTGTCTCTGCAGGTAACAGGTCGGGCTCCATGAGAAGAACCCGGTCGTAGACCGACCGGAGTTACCCGAGCGGCGATGTCGACCACCGAGCGGCAGCCCTTTGGCGAAAGAGCTGACGAAGGACACGTGGCGGCTCTTTACATCGACAGGCAGGGCACCCAGGAGGATGGCACGTGGTGGCTACGTGGAAGACATGCCGAGCGGCTGAGATCTTGTCTCCGGCACAGCGGCTATAAATGCCCACAGTAGCAACAGTGTGGGGGACTTTTGGACGATCGATAGGTTGTTGTTAGAGAATCCCGACCGCAGTCAGTCGGTACTCAGAGCAGCCAAGTAGATTGTACTTAGGGCCTTTACCGGGATCAATAAAGATTCTACTTGCTTTAATTGGTCTCGTGTTATTTATATTGCTTACGTAGAATTAGCAGTATCATTTTGGCGCCGTCTGTGGGGACCCGTGCAACAAGCCAACGTCTTGACGAGCACCCGATCACCATATCGACATG